ACATTTCAGAAACAACTACCACACTTGCAGCAATCTCACTGCTGACAATAAACCCGAGCGAACATACAACAGGTCTTAAAGAGGCACTTGAACACCCACTTCACAGCAACTCCGTTGACAAGACCTACCACGAGGCACGAACTCGAGTGTCCTTCCGGGGATGGACAGATGAGCACGATGTGGGCTGAGCGTACAATGGAACAGTACTGCCCCGAGAAAGAAGAACACTCTGACGTGTGTGACAGCACGGGGGCACCTGGAGGACATCGGAACGCGTACCGTGAGCCGCGGGCAAGACGGTGAATCGTGTGCGATTCCACTCGGGTGAGCGATTAGGAGTGGCCGCATTCACAGAAGGAGAAAACACAGAAGTGGTTGCAGCCGGGGGAGAACGGGGGGTTGTTGTTTACGGGCATAGGGTTTCACACGTAAAGATGGGAAGAGTTATGGAGACACGGGCGGTCGTGACTGCACTTTATGAATGCATTTGCTGTCCCCAAAACCCGGAGAAAGGCTTAACATGGTACACTTTCTTGGGGGCAAGTCCTATTCTTTTAAACGGGAGAAATCTAACCCGTTAAATAAAATCTGAAAGCCTTCAGGAAGACCTGGAGCCCGTGTCTCTCCCTGTGGAAGAAACCGGTGGCAGCAGGAGAAATCTAACCCGTTAAATAAAATCTGAAAGCCTTCAGGAAGACCTGGGGCCCGTGTCTCTCCCTGTGGAAGAAACCGGTGGCAGCAGGATGGAGCTGCACACCTGCCTGGCCCAGGGCTGGACCCCTGCGGAGGCCGGCGGGCGCCGGAGGAGCAGCTTCTCCACACTGACGGCGTGAGGGTGCCGGTCAGTGACAACGTGCACGGCTGTAGCAGAGCCCCCCAGCCAAGGGACTGCTCCTTCAGTTTGCTCTCCAACAGGTGTAAACTTCTCTTCTGGACAACCCTAACCTAGAGACACACGAAGGGAAGGGAACGCTAAGAAAGCTGCTCACGGCTTAGCTAACCTGACGTAGAACAAGAACAGCACAACCCACTGCTTGTCGGCCACCGTGCACCACGTTAAGCTTCCCGATTAAAAGGCAGCAATACACTTTGTGTTTCCACCTAATGCAGGGGAATTACCTCAGATGTAATATAAAAATGCCAACCCTCCTCCAAGAAAGGCTTCAACTCCCATTGCCCACCTTACGTACCTTCGGCTGATGTTCACGTCTCGTGTTGATGAATAACCTCCGCCTTGGGTGTCCTGCAGCTTATACGCTGAGGTATGTAGCATCACCTCTAACACGTCCTTTGTCACACGGTGGGGGGGGGGTGGACGGAACAGGTTGGTTATGAGAGGAGGAGACGGAGACGGTGGAGTAGAAGGACACAGAGCACATTCACATTACATCTACATGTGGACCACGTCTCACTGGAGAAAAATGGAGACTGGCAGAGAGACTCCTGTACAGCCAAGGCGCTGAAGAAAGGTCCACGAGGAGTCACGTAGGGAGGGAAGAGAGGTACTCGGTTTGGAACGCAGCCTCGGGGAGGGGACCCGGGACAGGGGGACACGTCATGGGCACGCAGGTCTTCCCTGGGGAGTGGGCAGCGTGAGAGCGTTAGTAATATGAATGCTAACCAAGTTAGGGAAAAGGACACATGAAAACAGTTTGAACCTTTACAGGGACCTGGAAAATATAAAAAGAGAACCACTCACCAGAGGGGTACGATGGCTAAAACTTAAAACACTGGAAGGGGCGAACAGGGACTAGGTGGCACCGGAGACCCCACGCGACCTGGAAGACAGAACCATGGGAATTACCCAGTCAGAACTACAAAAGGAAAAACAACTTTTTTAACACTGAGAGCAGTTGACGGAATCTATGGAACGACATCAACTGTCCTAACTTCGGCATGATCGGGGTCCCAGAAGCAGAAGGGAGAGAGAGAGAAGTTGAAAATGTACTTAGTGAAATTATGGCAAAAACTCACCAACCATGAAGAAAGAGAGACATTTCCAGGCGTAGGAATCACACAGTCCCAAACAAACACAACCCAGAGAGACCCACACCAAGACACGTCACAATTAAGTTGGCAAAAGTTAAGGATAAAGAGAGGATTCTGAAGACAGAAAGAGAACAACAGAGTCACGTACAAGGAGCTGCCACAAAGTTAACAGCTGATTTTTCTGCAGAAACTCTGCAGACCAGACGGGAGAGGCATGATCTATACAAATGCTGAATGCCAAAAACCTACAACCTAGGAGACGTCACCCCGCAAGATTGTGGTTTAGACCTGAAGGAGAGACAAGAACTTCTCAGGCAAGCAGACCCTGGAGCAGTTCATCAACCCCCAGAGACATGTCAACGGTCTTCCTGGAGGGGAGCACACAGGCTATTGCAAGACGCAAGAATTTACAGCAAAGGCAAATCCCGCTAAAAGGCAAATTAAAGCCTGAGGTCATCAGCTAAATAAGCAAAAGATTAAAAGATACATTACGTAAAATTAACTGTGACTGCAGTAAACAGCAGTTCACAGGAAGAAGCAAAATATAACATCAAAAATAACGGGGGGCGTCACAGAGGGAACTAAAAAAAACAGACAGGTGAAAAGCTGCTCACATTCCTAATCGTTAGGGAAATGTAAATCAAACCCAAAAGGAGATGTCACCACAAAGACTGCAAGTAAGAAATATTGGTGAAGAGATGGGGTAGACGGAGCCCTGGTCGCTGGTCGCAGGAGTGCAAGCGGGTGCAGCCTCTGGGGAAAACAGCAAGGAGTATCCTCAGAAAAACTAAAGAAACAACTATCACACGGTCCAGCAATTCCACTCCCGCCTGTACATCCGAAGGAAACAAAAACAAGAATTTGCAAAGATACATGCACCCCAAGGTACATAGCAACCGTATGAACAAGAGTCAGCATACGGAAGCAACACAGGTGTCTGTCGGCAGAACAATGGATAAAGGTGGTACGATG